CAATATTCCAATTTACTAATTTGCTTCAATACATCTAAAAGCCACACAACCCATGCTTTCATCATTTTGCTTTATTCCCTTTATAAATACTAAATTCTCGTACTAAATGTTATCTCTTTTATCATCATTCACTTAGTTGTCATAGGGTTTAATATTAGGTCAAAATATTTCATCACTAGATATGGGTCAATACCAAAACTCATTTAATATATTAATTTTCTTGGGAATTCGTATTTTTTAAACTTTAAACCGTTTTATCTTCTTCATCACTCCACACTCATTTCTCAAAACCTCCTAATCCCCAGCCTTCTAAACCTTCAAACATACCCCCTTCCTTATATGCTCTTTTAAGTCATCAACTCTCACCAACCTTCTTTTCCTATTCCAAGCATTATGGCCTCTTCCTCAATTACTTCCTAGGTCTCCAACCTCAACCATGTTCCTGCGCATTAGTTGAGATTAATGGCAAGAGTTTTGCCCCGGTCCTTGGCTTAGAAGAAGAATCCAAACAATTTGTTCAACTTAGATACTCATTCCATATTCTATTGGAGGCATATCCTATGCCTTTTAGGGACCTCTGATCTCAGACCCAAATGAACCCGTAGATTTTTCTTCATCTGAAGAAGGAAAACCATCTTGCAAGAAGAAGAAGGCAAGTTAGAATAGACTTCCTTTGCCAATCTTCAAAAGTTTACCGTTCTGGACCACCCTAGAAGGAACCATGCTACCTCAAATGGCCCAATAGGATAAAGTCTAAATTCTAATCACAATGGAAGAAAATCGACTTTTTTTATTTACTCAACCTCTCTCGATTTGACATATGCTATTTCAACATGTCCATGTTCCTTCTAACAACGCAGCTACTGGAATAAAGACCTCAACGCAATAGAACTTCCATGTGACTTGATGAACACATTTTATCAATAATTTTATTAATATAATTTATATATATTTAGTGTATTTTCTTAATTAATTTTTAATAGTTAATATAGTTTTTGTAAAAAAGAAATAAAAATATCTTAATATAAATTATTTCTTAAACGGTACATTTTAACTAATTATTTGTTTACTTTTGTAGGAATGATAAATTAAAGAAAATATAAAAGCAAAATCATATGGAATCCGTTGAGTGCTTCTAAATCAGCTCAAGCAAAATTAGTCTAGAAAGCTCCTCTTCGAAAAGTAGCAATTCGCTCAATGCTTTTTTATCTGTTGAGCGATTTACAATCCGCTTAACGCTTTTTGATCCATTGAGCGAAATCTGTCAGAACTCATGTAACTATTTAACTATAAATCCGCTCAGGGCTTTCTAATCCGCTGAGCGGATTCATCAAATTTCAATTTTGCATAATGTTATTTTAAGTTATATTATGTAATTATGAGCCTTGAATGGGCCTTGATCATTTCGTCTGCCTTTAAGTTAAGTTTTAATCACAAGTTTATTTTTAGATTTCTCTAGTTTCTAATTTTTAGTGATACTTAGCTTCCAAGTCTGTTCATGGAGCTTCTTTACGAATAATGCTATGAAGTTTATCAATTCAAGTTCTTCTTGATCAAATTTGTTTCATCTTCTCTTTAATCTCTCGTTTTATTTTCTGTTTCATCTTTTACTTCATCTTTCATTTAATTTCTTTACTATTTTCATGTTATTTCTGGTTTTTCAATTGTTCAACATGTTTTAATTCGTTTTTGTTGTTGATTCACCGGTTAAAACTTGTTTTCTATGGTTTAAATATGAGTATTAATGATTCTAACCGATTATAATCCATTACAATCAATGTAACTAGGGTTATTTGATTAAATGTCTCTTTTACATCACAATTCAACTTCTAGGTTTAAGTGAATGCTTACGAATTTTGAAGGGATTATAATTGATTGGATCTGTTGTGGGTTTGTTTTTATGATTGCAAGACAATTCCATAAAAATCAATGATAATCATAAAAGCAAGATTATAATTAGAGAATCAACACAACATCATCTTTATTGTTCTTAATCTACAATTTTCATAAATTAGATTTATAAGTTTTCTTTTGAATAATTTCATTTACAACTTTCTTTAAGTTCTTTGTTGAATTGCTTTTATAGTTTAGGTTTAATGATTCATTTACATGTGTTTTATTTACTGTTTTTAATATATTACATTACCGCTTTCAATTTACTTTTTTGTATTTGAAATCATAAAATTCACTATTTCCTAGCTTTTGACATTGAAAATTAAGATTGAAACAAAATTAAGCAATTCTCCTTGAGGACACCTCCTAGGTCAGTCCTAATATTGCATTATTTTCATTGCAAATTTTTTGATGAGATTTAGGCGACAAGATTAACTTCATTAAAATGACGGCGTTCGTGGGAGCAATTGGTGATTGTTTTATTTTAAATCTCAATTTTATTTTGTCAAAGGTTAATGTACATATTTGTTTTGAGTTTGTGTTTTGTTTGAGTTAAAAGCTTTGAAAAACCTTAAAAGATTTATTGTCTTTTCACTACTACAAATAAGGCTTTTCACCGACGTTGTATCAGGCGACATCGGTTCTATTTAACCGATGTGGAAAGTCCGATTTTTCAAATCGAAATTTTTTAAATTTTTTATTTATTTCCAACCCCTCTATTTATATTATATTTTTATTATTTATCATATTTTTTTGAAGTTTCAAGCATTACCAAATTATTTTTTTATCATCGACGGGATTCAAACCCAAGTATCTTAGTGTTGGAGGTCGATACTCCAACCACTAAACTACTCGAATTTTTTTATAATAACTTACAAATAAATTATATTTATATACAAATAAATATATATTCGTGTAAATATATAAATACAAATATATTTATATATTTTGATATATTTATATAATTATATATTTATATATTGGATGTGAGGGCACGCTCGAAGGTGAAAGTGTGTGTCGAATGGGTTTTCAAAATTTAATGCCAAATTTGTGAGCTGGTCTCTTTATATGAGTTTGTAATTTAATGACGTAATATAATGTTTATAATTTATTTATATAATGATATAAAATAAATTTGGGAAACACATCATTCGTTCAAGTGACATATTCGCTCAAGTGAAAAATACCAATTTTCGCTCAAACTAGGCTTGAGCAAGTGAATTTCCGTGAGCTTTAACGTATTTTCACTCAAGCGGAGTCAATCTCACTTTCACCCTCTCCAACATAAAAATATATAAATATATAAATATATCAAAATATATAAATATATTTGTATTTCTATATTCTATATTTATATATTTACAAAGATATATATTTATTTGTATATAAATATAATTTATTTGTAAATTATTATAAAAAAATTATAGTAGTTTAGTGGTTAGAGTATTAATTTTCAACTCTAAAATACTAGATTCGAATCCTATCAGTGACAATTCTCTAACTTAAGTGAATTTTTTACTTGAAAAAAATAAAAACACTTTCCGGAAAATATAAATAAATATATTTTTACATGGATATATATTTATTTGTATATAAATATAATTTATTTGTAAGTTATTATTAGAAAATTACAGTAGTTTAGTGGTTGGAGTATCGACTTTCAATTCTAAAATACTTGGGTTTGAATCTTGTTAGTGACAATTCTCTAACTTAAAAGAATTTTTGGGTGAAAACACATTCAACGTTGGTTGACTAAAATCCGACGTAGAAAATGTCCAACATTCAACTTTCAACATCGCTTTTTAACCAACCGATGTTGAAAGTTTATTTAACATCGACTCAACTTTAACCGATATTAAATGACTACGTTGAAAACATATTTTATAGTAGTGTTTATCACTCGCTTAATGGTTTGTTTGAGCGCTTTTGTTATTTTGTTCAAATTTTATACATATTGTCCAAATTTCGCACTAATTGTAAACCGGTCGACAAATTTGTGGCCATGAGGTTTATTTTTGAAACTGTCCATTTTTTGCTTGGCAGTTTGTTATCCGCTGAACGCTTTATTTTTCGCTCAACAATTTGTTACTTGTTGAGCACTTTGTATCCAATTTTTAAATTTTATGTTTTATCAGTTATATCTGCGTAACGGATTTGTCGAGTTTTTCAATTTAGTTGGTCCCTGGAACAATTTCACTTAGTTGATGTTCTTTAATAGTTTGTGTTTGTATGTATAATTTGTGTTTGTTTTTTTCTCTTTTGATTTTTGAATTTGAATGTTTCGTTCCCCTTTGGTTCAAAAATTAAAAGAACTTAAAAAAATCTAATTGTTTGTTTCTGTGTAAATATTCGTTGAAAGATTTTGATCCAGTGTTAACAAATTATAATAAAAAATAAAAATTTAGACTATGTTTTTTTTCTAAGTATAATTCGTTCAACGAATTTATTCCAGTATTAATAAAAATTAAAATTTACAATAAGTTCAAACAAAACAATCTAAAAAATTATCATTTTGAGATTATTATTAAGTTGAGTTCTGCTGTATATTGAAAAAAATGAGAGAAATTCATCTAAAAAACACTCTAATACTTAAATCAATATAATAAAATAAAAATCTTTGAATAAAAATTAAATTTAGCAAATAATAGAGATATCTTATAGACTTTTTACTAGGCAGTTTAAATAATAAATTATAAACCAGTAATAATAAGTGTATTATTAGTCTAATGTTATTTTTTATACATAATAAATATAAAGAATTTGAAAACCGTCAGAGGTATATAAATTATTTAAATAATGTGGATGTAAAAGTATAATTAACTAAAACTATTATTAATATTATTTTAAGGATATTATTAATAATAAATTTATCTGATTTTGATTAAACAATCATTCATAGCCTATTTCGAAAAAAAAATTAAAGGAAAAGTTTTGCCAAATACACAAATCGGTTATATTGGAACCGTCAGTTATTTAGGACAGCCCGACCCGGTGGATCAGATGAAATATGGCGGGAAAATGTCTAGGGCACAAGAGAGCATAGTGAAGAAAGAAACTGCATCTTAAATTTGCGTCAACACTGTTTCCTTTACTTCGTCGACTGAACGATGGATATCAATGGCAATTGGGACGAGGATGAGGACGAAGAGTTCGAGTTCTCTCGAAACTATTTCCTGGCTAAGGAACTCGCTTCTTCGGCCAAGAAATCGAAGCACAAGCTCACCGACATCGATGTCGTTGACGAACTGGTATCACTCGTAATTGTAATCCTTAAAATGTTGTTCCATTCCCCTATATTATTCTCTCCAATCACTGTGCGATTTCGCAATTTACCAGGAATTGAAGGAAGCCGCATCGCAAATTCAACCCAAGCATGAAAACGAGATCGCTCTCTTATTGGATTCCTATAAAACCATGTACCCTGAATGGCTTCTCGCGCTAAGGTTCGTTTGAATATGATTTTATTTTTTCTCCTAAAGTGCTTTAATTGAACAAAGTTTTGTTTTTGGTTCCTTGGATGATTCAGGTGTGGTTTTGGGCTTCTAATGTATGGCTTTGGATCTAAGAAGACTCTGATTGAAGATTTTGCTTCGACGGCATTGACTGAGTACTCTGTAGTTGTCATTAATGGATATCTTCACTCCATTAACTTAAAACAGGTTTGTTTTTTTTTCTTCCCTAACTTTTCCCATTTCTATGATATGTGTGATTAGAACTCTTTTTATTGTGACAAAAAAAGGAGTAAAGTAGAAGACCAAACTTACACCTTGTTTGTTTACTATGAAGCAGTTATATGTTTTAAAATTTGTTTTTCTCTAGAGCACATTTGCAAGTGTTTGCCCTCCTAGCAGATTTTTTTTTATTTCTTAACGTCTGTCTCCTGAGCACTTGTGTTAAATATTCGAAGAAAACAGAAGAGGATGAAATAATATCTTGCAGGTTTTTTTTTTAATTATTTTCAAAATTTAATTTATTCAGGACGAGAAACTGATTGTAAGTAGTGTGAAATTGTTCTAAAAACAGTTTTATCTTCTTTTCATTTTTAAAAGAAAGAGAGAATAGAATCAAATCATATTTGGAACTGTTCTTCAATTAGAAGTTCGGTTTCACTTTACATAGTAACAGTTTGCATTAAAAATTAAAATAGTTACTAAGGTAAAACTCGGAATCACATTGGAGACTAACACCAAAAGCAATAAGGAGCTGCATCCAAGTTTTCTCCAAAAGTAAATGTTTGTATGAAGATTATGAGTGTGATACTTCTCATCGTACATCACTAATACAGTATATATTTCCTTAAAATATATTAGGTGGTGATAGCTTTAGCTGAAGTTTTGTGGGACCAAATGAAAACCAAACGAAGGGTTTCATATCGGGAATTACAGCGCCAGCAGCCATTCAATTCTCAATCAATGGAAGAACTTCTGACATTTTTGGATCAAGCAGAAATAGATGATGTTGATTTTTTTGTTTCTGTCGTTATTCACAATATTGATGGACCTGGATTGAGAGACTCTGAAACCCAACAATATCTTGCTAGACTAGCTGTTTGTGCCCGTATTCGAATTGTTGCCAGTATTGATCATGTCAATGCTCCACTGGGTAAGTATAGTCAACACTATTACGTTGTATTTGCAGAATGTTTTATTCCTTGTAAGTTGAAAATTGTAAGTTCCATCTTCGGATACGTCTTAAACATATTATAGTCATATTATTATTTCAAGGTTTTTATTGTTCTACTATATATTTGTGATACATTTTGAATGTTTGAGTAGAACTTAAATGGTGCGGTATTAATTTGCAATTGAAAAGGTATAAAATGCCTTGGTAAAATGAACTGCTATAGCTTTTTTATCTACGCTGCTCATTCTTTGAGGGTGTCTGAGGTTCTGATCATATGTTATTTCTCTGTTTAACTGACAATAGGACTAGGTGGTAACAACCTTTCATGAAACTTAAAAGAATCCAAACACTTTTGGTCATGAGACATAAAATTGCAACTGTAAAATAACATGCCCTTCTTTGAAGTTGTTTGTAGGAAAAACATTGAAAAGGACTTCTTAGGTCTAAATGGCCTCTTTGAAAGCCTGGTTCTGGCATAATACAAGGCCGTGGAAAGTTCTTTTTTGTTGCTTTAGCCATAGAAATGAAGGATATGTGACTGAAAGGTTTTTTGTAGTCTCTCACTATTGCTTAACTATTTCCTCTTCTGTTGGCAGCTTGGGACAAGAATATGGCTCACACACAGTTCAATTGGTGCTGGTATCACGTTCCTACTTTTGCCCCTTACAAGGTTGAAGGCATGTTTTATCCTCTGATTCTTGCTCATGGCAATGCCAACCAAACTGTCAAAACAGCCACAATAGTTTTGCTAAGTTTGACACGCAATGCTCAGAGTGTATTCAAAGTTCTTGCTGAACATCAACTCTCTCACCCTGACGAAGGCAAGTTTCTATCATTTACTTTGGATTTGTTGTTCTTTTCTAAACTGATTTTTGTTAATCATTTTCCTTTACCTTATAGGAATGCCAATCAGTGATCTTTACTCAGTCTGTCGAGAACGTTTCCTTGTTAGCAGTCAAGTTACGCTGAACTCTCATTTGACTGAATTTAAAGACCATGAGCTGGTCAAGATTAAAAAGCATTCCGATGGTCAAGATTGCTTGCACATCCCACTGACAGCAGAAGCACTTCAGAAAATTGTGCTTGAGATCAATTAGTAAATTCAAATGAAATTGAATGCCAAAGGAAACTAGTTAGATGGAAATTTTCCACAGTTGGATGATAAGCAGGCTATATATATGAATCAATATAACCATGCAGACCAAGGTCAAATATGTTTGCGTTCCCAACTTGAGGGTAGTAGGATTGTTGACTGTCACAAGTTTCAGGTGGAGCACAAAGTGATACTCGTAGGATGTTGTTCTTAACTATAGACTGAGAAAAACTATAAAAGACAATAGGTTAATTTAGTTTTGGTACTTTCAAATCTGGTCCGTATTGAAGTTGGCATCATCTCAAGTTTTCTAGGTGTTGTTGATGTCAAATATTTGGTCAGGATTATTATTCTATTATTTTTAAATTATATGATATTGACACGATAATTTTGATTATATCATGTGAGATATATGTAAATATTCTATCAGAAAAATTTCAATATCGTTATTTATAAAATAATAAAGCCTTTGGATATTACCAATTTTAACATCGAACAATTTTGAAGATATCAAAAAACTTTTTGAGCCAATAATTCATTTATGTATTAAGTTCATCTCATTTTAAATTAAAAGTTAACATATTTCCTTCTTTTTTTCACAAATGTTCTTTCTTTTGAAAACCTAAATCCGGATTTTTCCTGGAAACATACAATTATATGTACCCACCTTCTCTGTTGTGGTGACAAGACATGGAATTTCAAACTTAACAAGAAAAAAAAAAAAAAAAAAAAAGGGAAAACAGCAAACGCGTCCCAATTGTCAACCTTGTTGGATGGGGGGAACATGTCAAGAGCGTAGAGGCCATGTGTTTTCCAATCCAAATCACACAACGTGGGTGGATGTAATCATTAATGAAATATTAATTTATGATTTTGACACGGTCGCACCAATACCCTGCATGGCAACATAATCACTGGATTTTCGTGTAAGACATGAGTTAGCAAACTATAGTTCGCATATTAATAAGCAGAAAAAACATCATTCAACCCCTTGGTTTTGGCTTATAATGTCTCAAAGTAGCACAAGTAATCAATGAGGTGTAGTGAGCTGTACCCAATACGCGTATTTGAAGTTGGATAGATATATTTGATGGCAAGACTTGCTTGAGAAGATGGATGTTTACAGCTTCCCAAAAGCTTGTTCAAGTCCAAGTCTTTCTGGCTTGACTAGTTGGTGGAGCATCTTATACGCCTAAAAGTAACCAAAAAAGAAGAATATCTTAACGTTGGGTTTGGTCTACACTCTTCACCTCACCCTCAATATAATGCGTTACAGAGGGAAGGAATCACAGAAAAATAAATGTTGCCAGACAATTTATTGCATGGTAAGCAAATTTTTAAAAAAAAAAAAAACAAGTTACCATTTTTTTAAGAAAAAAAAGTATACTAACTTCTATTATTAATTATCGTTTAAATTAACTAAAAACATTTTGAGAAGATTATCCATCGAGATTATGATATTCAAGACCATGATGTTCTTTGATTCTTTTAGAAAATTCCATGAATATTTTTTATTATCATTTAACAATATATGGCTTGAAAAATGATATAGATATTTAAATTAGTATTTTTTTCTATTATTCATAATATTATTGATATATTTTATTATTATATCTTATTTTTATGATATTATCGTTAAAATCTAGCATGATCATTGGTTAAAATATCATGATCATCTATTAAAGTATTGTCTGTTTTTAAAATATAATTTATCAAAATTTTAACTTTAAAATATTTGAGTGGATTAAAAGAATAAAATATATATAAATTATCATAAATCTTAAACTCGTAAATAAAACTTATGAGTGTAAATGGACATAAAATATTATTATCTAGACGTAAAAAGTGTTTTAACTTTAGGAGTAAATAAAGAATTAAAGGAGAATATCAAATACTCTAAATAAATAAATCAATAAAAAAATATATATAACATTTTATAAAAAGATTAATTATCACTCTAAGTGAATTAAGAGATATTTTTTTATATATTAGATGTTATGGATATTTTGGATAATTAATGATATTTATCCAAATATTTTGAATATTTATACTTGTATGTCGGATATTTATGTTTTAAAAATAGACGTTACGTACATATTGGTTTCATTTCATGTCTAACAGTTGCTGATTCTTAAACTAATTTTACGTAGTTTTTGGGTCGTATATAGTATTATAAATTTTACTGTTAATTTACCTTATAAAACATGAATAAAATAACTTTAAATTCAATATTTTACAATTAATTTGATTTAAAAACAAATTTGCCAACCCAACTTTCTGGGACACTGCCCTCCTCTCTTATATTTACAGTCGTCATTACTGCTACGACAAGCCATTAAAGTTAGTTGGTATAAAAATTGAGCTTCAGCATCATAAACCACGGCTCCCAAAATTAGCACGAGTACAAGCATAAAGAAACGCCAACAAAATTTTAATTGGTATAAAGAATAGTATCTACAAAATGTCAAAATCATTATAATTTGTTTGGACAAGAATTTTTTAGAAGTTAATTTCTAGAGAACATTTCAAATAATTTTTGGTAAAATATGTTATTTTAATGACGAGTTTGAAATTTATTTAAATATTAAGTTTTATCAATATTAAAGAAAATGAATTTATAAAATAAAATCACATATATATATATAAATAAATATTTAATTTTTTTAATAAATAAAATCTTAAAATAATATATAATATGTATTTTACAATTTTTGTTCACATGTTGCTCACTCACTCTGTCATGTTGACTCCTAAGTAAAAAAATTAAATAAATCAAATTTTAGGTTAAAATTCTTTTTTTATATATTTATGTTTCTTTTATTTATATTTTTTTATTGATTTGATTTTCAATTAGGTGTGATGAATTTTTTACGTTATTTATATTATATATAAAATAAAATTTCCTTTTTTCAATTGAGTTTTGTCTTATAGGAGAGAGGGAAAAAAATCATATATATAAAGAACATGAGATATTTAAAAAAAAAAAAGATAAACCATGAAAAAAATAGAATTAAACTAAAATACTTCAAATATAATAATTTTAATTTTTAAAAAATCGTAAAATTTCATATCTTATGTTGTTTTGTAGTGATGACGATTGTTTTCAGATGAAATTATCATACTCAAGTTACATTCTCAGAGGTGATAAAAGCAATATAATAATATACTAAAAACTCAAAATGATTAAAAATATATGTTTACGCGTTTTGAGACGAACATCATCTTAAAATACAATCTAAAAGTCAACAACCTGCAAATTCTGAGTTCTCAAACAACGATTAAGTTAAATTAAAACATCATGGATTACTTAATTCGTGTGTTTGGTTTAAATTATTTTGATGAAACATATGAAATGATATATACCAAAACATGTAGCAAAACAAGGACGTAAGCACTTCAGTCAACACAGCGATTGTGATTACTTCTCAGAAAACAATCCGGCCGAATAAACTTATGATGGATATTAATGCATACTTTTCCATTAAGATTGTGTTATGCATGACACCCTATGCCAAGTGGATTTCTACTATAGTAGTTTAGGTTTCATCTTTATTACGATAATTTATTAAAATTTTAACTATTGTATTTAAAATATTATTCATTTTAGAATTTTAATTCATGATATCTTTAAAAATTAATGAGTTAATATATATATATATATATATATATATATATATATATATATTATTAACTCAACTCTAAATAATGTAAAAATAATGATAATTATAACCTAATCAACAACAAATTTAAGATAAATTAAACGATCAACACTTCAACAAACACAAAAGAGTATTACAAGTTACAACTATCATCTACTACCATAACAAAATTTTTGTTTCATACAATTTTAATTAGGATTAGAATCACCCACTTATTAAACAAATATTTTTCTTTATTATACATTAAAGTTTAAATATGAATTAAAATTTCTTATATAATAAAATAAGAAAATTCAGCTATAAATAGACAAGTTTTGTAAAGTTAATCATTTTAAATTTTGTGTTATCATTTTATTTATGAGTTTCTTCTTAATATTTTAATTTAAAAAATCCATATTTTTCATATTTTAAATTTTGTATATTTAGTTTGTTAAAAATATTTGATGGTATATTAAATAAATATATTAGGTTTATAATAAATTAAACCATATAAAAAAATATTTGTAAAGTTAAGGATGGAGTCAAAATTATAAATTTTCTAAAAATGTCTATTTTTAAAATTTAAGAATATATTAATAAAAAATATTATATAATTTTAGAAAATGATTAAAATTTGATATCAAATAAAATAATTAATTCCTTAATCTCATCTGTTATAATTGATGTAGAATATTATCCGTGGATTTGAGAATAAGACAATGCTAATTTTAGACGAAATTAATCCATATGTATAAATCAAGAAATTTAATAATTTTTATTTAATTTTATTTTAATTTCTATATTTTATATATAAATATTAAAATTTAAAATAAAAATTATTAAAAACATGGGTAATATTTTACAAATAGTAAGGGTCAGAGGGTACAGTCCAGGTGAACATGCCAGCTCGCTGGCTCTAAGAGCCGAGCCAAGGCAAAACGATGCGTTTTTGCCACGTCATCGAATCATCCTTCGTGTCTTTTTATTTTTTCGAATAAAATGGTTCATTTTTACGCTTTTATTTTCCATTCTCTTTCTTTCTTTCCTTCCCTCTTTCAACGAAAACCAACAATGGAATATTTGCAGGACGTTGGGATCCGTGTTTCACGATCACGAAGAACAATCCAATTCAGCGTGCCTCTATATTTTCGCGTGTGAATCGTCATTTTTATCTTATCCACTGTAAATTCTCCACACTCACGTTTCTCGATTCCGATTTGCAATCCAGAGATAGCCTACTTTCGCCAATTTATTTCTCCCTCATTGCCGTATTTCTCTCGGTTTAATTGAATCTCTTGTTGCGTTCTCTTTACCTGCTCGACCAACGACGAATATTCGAAGTTATTTATTTATTTTTTTTGTTTTTTTGTTTTCATTCTGGCGAGTGGTGTTGATATAATATTTTCGTTACTCTCGTCGTTTTGTATGCATTACGATCTTAATTGTTGCTGCATAGATTTTGCTGTTAATTTGCGTGAAAATGCTGGATTGATTTGGAAATATGGGAATTGGCGTTATTGTTTTGATTTCTTTGCTTATTAATAACGCGCGTTTGTTGTGATTCCTTATTTAGGATTGCTTTTAATTGCACGGAATGGAGGTTTAAAGTTGCAAAGAACGTGGTGGTGTTGTTGTAATTGTTGTTGTTCTTGCGGTGGTAGAGTTATTTGGAATTTAAGGATTGAGTGGTAGCGAGAAAAATGGCTGCAAGGACTGAACACCAAACGGTTCCTCTTTCGGTACTCCTGAGGCGTGAATTGGCTCATGAGAAAATTGAGAAGCCTGAGATTGCTCATGGTCAAGCGTGCCAAAGCAAGAAAGGGGAGGATTTAACACTGGTCAAGACAGAATGCCAGAGGGTGGTGGGGGATGGGGTCTCTATATACTCAGTTTTTGGGGTATGTTTCTCACGGTCTGCATTTCCAGATTGATTGACATTCTTATTTATCTAGGATTTGATGGGTTTAAACTTGTCACTAGATATTATATCTATTTTATATGTTATCATTCTGTGGTACGGGGAAATAGTGAATGAGAGAATAAAAGGATTAAACATCTTCCTTGTCACTTGTATCTTATTGCAAACTTGGCCAATGCTAATGCTTTCAGGCCTATGACTGATTTCTTTCGTACATTTGATTGGAATCCAATGTGTTGTTTATGTTTCTATATTTGATGTACTTGACTTCATGGCTGAAAAAGACTGAAAAAACTTTAGCAAGTTACATATTATTACTTTATTGCTATGTTGATGAGAATAGACTAATACATTGTCAAGGTTTTGCCTCAGTTTTCGTTTTATTTTTAAACTTTGTTAGTCATTTTAGTGGTTCATAGGAAGGACTACAGCCATTTATGCTCTGAATGCTCATAACTCTATGCACTATTATTTATTTATTTGTTTTTTTTGTTTTTTTTTTTTTTTTTTCGTTTTCCCTGGTTTCATTTCTGACGTAGAGGTTTTACAGCTGTTTGATGGACACAATGGAACTGCTGCTGCGATTTATACCAAGGAGAATCTTCTAAATAATGTTTTAAGTGCGATTCCTCCAGATCTTAACAGAGATGAGTGGCTAGCAGCATTGCCCAGGGCTTTAGTTGCTGGCTTTGTAAAAACTGATAAAGATTTTCAAGTGAAAGGTATAGTTAATTCCTTTTAGTGTCTGCTTTGCCCTTTAACTATTTGGTTAAGAGGGAATTCATGTACATCAACTTGAATATTTATGTTAATATCACCAAAAATATTTGTACATATTTCAAACTTATATTTTCATCTAATACTTAAAGTTAAAATGTTAAATAATAAGAGATCAAAAACAGATTTGCAGATTTGTTTGGTGAACATGCTGACAGGATTTTGAAACCTTGGAATAATTTTCATATTTCAAATCTATATAAGAAGGTTTGTAACAGACTCTGCTGGAAAACAAAGTTATCATAATCGTGCCTCCTGTCATGGTTCTTCTGAGTTTTGAACATCTTGATTGTAAATATTCGTTGATGAGGAAAACCTATACAAAGTGGGAAAGTTTGTTTTTAACCACCATGTATTCAAGGCTTTTTGAAAGTGCCTGTAGGAATTGGTTAACTTGGTTTGTGTATTTTTTGCCTATTTTTAAACTCTGGACACAAATCTTTCTTTTTCCAGAATCAGTTCAAGCTACTTTTTAACAGTTTGACATTACTTTGGTTTGAGTGTCCAAATTTACTAAGATAACCAAACTTCAAAAAAGACGTTAATTCTCTCTTAAATACCCCATGATATACGTGATAAGCATTGTGTGCAGTTTCATACGTTCTTGATTTAAAGCTAGTTAAATGTTATCTTTCTGACAAACATTTACATACTTTTTTTTTTTTGAATTTTAATTAATTTTACTTAGTTTCAGCTTGAGATTCTAGAAATGAACAAACTGGATCCATTTCTTGCTTTTGTAAACATCTTTCCAAAGGGTTCTTTCCCCTAGCTCTTGTTGGGGGGTTTAATTGGCTCATGTTGTTAAAGGGGGTTTAATGGGCCATGTATGTACTATTTTTACTTAAGCTTCAGTATTAAGATTGTCTATTGCATAATGCATAGTAAGTCAGTAGTGACTGTTATTTGTTTATTTATGTGGACAGTAGAGTTGGCTTAGGAGTTCAATTACAAATTGCATCAGATAATGCACTTGACACCATTTTGATTTGCATCAAACTGCAACATGACTTCGGTTACAATTGCACTGCAACCTAGATTTAAAACATCATGCAAGTTGTTTGCACATTTGAGTATTAGATTGTTGTTAAAGAATATTAATATTTAAAAAAATATAATAGTTTTTTTTGCTATTTTGCTTTTACAGGGCAAAAATCTGGAACAACTGTCACCTTTGTGATTATAGAAGGTTGGGTTGTAACAGTTGCATCAGTTGGTGATTCCCGTTGCGTACTTGAATCTTCTGATGGTGAGATTTATTACTTGTCTGCAGATCACAGGCTTGAATCGAATGAAGAGGAGTACGTGTTATTTGAATGTGTTTTTCTTTTCAACAACTATATGGATTTTCTATGTTATAACAGACTTATCCTTCTTTATCAGGAGGGTGCGGATCACCTCTAGTGGTGGTGAAGTTGGTCGATTAAATACAGGGGGAGGTGCAGAGGTACATTCATTCCCTTTTAATCATGATTGCTTTTAACTTGAGTGGTATTTGCTCCATAACAAGCTTCGACACCCACTCCCTATTGCCACAAAATAATATATAGAACTGTGTTCTTGTATATCATTCCTTATGATACTTATATTATATTTTTGGTACAACATGATTGCGCTCTCACACTACATAAACAGAGATTAAGAAGTAAACTAGATGAATCACATTCTTGAGAACTGAGAGGCTAGTGTAAGCTTGTTTGGTTACATTGGGTGATATGACCACATCAACATAAAACCATAATATTCTTTGCATTTCTTTTAAAACTTCTACAATCTTTTGGGGACATTGTTGTTTAGATTTTGTACAACAATATTCTCTTTATAAATAGTGTTTGCCATACCAATATGCCTGACTAGATTAACTTTTATTGTAGATTGGTCCTTTGAGATGTTGGCCTGGTGGCTTGTGTCTCTCACGATCTATTGGAGATATGGATATTGGTGAATTTATTGTCCCTGTACCGCATGTAAAGCAAGTGAAGGTTAGTCACTTTTCTATGCTCTACTTAAAGCAGTACCGGACATTTCTTAATTAGTTACCTTTTATCTCTTGCACACTTTTTGCTTTATAGGAACCTAGATTATATAGTTTCTTTATCTTCTGTGTGATCCTACTCGGATTTTCATTTGCGTGATCTCTTCTAAGCAAGTATTTCCTCCAGCTGCATATGTTTCAGGATATTGTGTGGATCAAATGATTGGATTCTTTTGTTGTGAATTTATCTATGTTTCTATGTAATCCATTAGTCTCTTCTTTTTTTTAGATAACGAATTTAATTTGTTCCTTTTTCTTTCCCCAATTTTTTTCTCTCTATTTAGTTGTCCACTGCTGGAGGCAGGCTTGTTATCTGCAGTGATGGTGTTTGGGATTCTCTACCTGTAGAAGCAGCCCTTGATTGTTGTCGTGGAATGTCACCGGAGGCTGCTGCACCGCATATTGTTAAGGTGAGATTAATGTACATATTTTGAGTCAATTTTTTTACTTGGCTGTTCTCATGTTTGGTGGTAATCTTGACTCAAACATCACAAGATACCTTGTTTGCAACTTTGCTTATGTTCTCCTGATAACTGTTATATGGTGCCATTAGTTATGTTTTTTTCCCGTTTGTTCCCTATCTCTTTCTATGTTTAGGAAGCTGTACAAGCAAAGGGACTTAGAGATGATACAACCTGCATCGTTGTTGATATATTACATCAGGAGAAGCCACCTGTTTCTGCACCACAAACAAAAAAGCCAGTAAAGGGAATGCTCAAGTCCATGTTTCGTAAAAAGTCTTCTGAATCATCTTCTAATAACGACAAAGAGTACATTGAGCCAGATGTGGTAGAGGAATTGTATGAGGAAGGATCTGCCATGCTTTCAGAGAGGTTTAGTTTTGTATCAACTTGTCAAAGTTAACCACTTGCTCTCTAGTTTTTTCTCCTGACAGTAGAATATGTCTGTCTAAAATGCAGGTTCGATACTAAATATCCAGTCTGCAACATGTTTAAGTTGTTTATGTGTGCAGTATGTCAAGTAGAGATAAAACCTGGTGAGGGCATTTCAATACACGAGGGGGCACCCAACTCTCAAAAATTTCGTCCCTGGGATGGACCTTTCCTATGCTCAAGTTGCCAAGAGAAGAAAGAAGCCATGGAAGGGAAAAGATCAGCAGGTGTTTTGATAACCCTTGATTATTGCCCATCTTCCTTTGAGAGACGTGTCCATAATATAACCCTATATTTGCTATTCCGATTTCAGGTAGAATCAGCAGTGGAAGTGACGAATGAGCCCTAATGTATATTTGCATTTTGACAGTGACAAAAATTGTTCATATGATGGCAAGGTCAAACATCCAAGCAACAAAGATTCCCTTCTATTATCACAGGGGCTTTATGGATATAATTTGGCATTTCACATGGAAATGTATATGAAAACCAATAGCATCCGATTAGAAGATTCTTGACTTGAAAGTATGAAATAGCAACAAAGAAGTATTGTGAAGGGTTGTGTAAAATATGGCAGTGCACACCAAGATGTCGGAGGTAATGCATTCTTTTTTTGTATATTTTTTTGTGATCCGTTCATTTGTATACGGATCTTTTTGGAATCACTATAGACCTTCATCGAAAGTGGCCTTTGTTATTAATATAGGAGTTTAATTAGAATTCATAGAATCAATTTACTGTTAAGCCAAATGTGTATTTAACCATTTTGAATGATTTGTTCCTTCATCAAATCCGATTTTGACATTTCCTTTTGACATACCAACATTAGGTTTTTTGTAACAGATTGTGTTAGATAGAAGTATCACTTACTTCTTCAATCCCCCTACCCCCCTCCTCCAAAAGTCGCCCAGAAAGAGGGAACAAAATATATTAGTACTGGCATAAGTATATTTTTATTACCTATATTTTCTTCAGACTTATTTTTAGTCTTAATATTTTCAAATTATTGATTCAGTTCTTCAACTAGTCATTTTTATATTTAAATTTAACATTTAGTAGTGTTTTTTTACTATAAAAAAATCACGAAATATGTGATTTTAGTTATTTTTTTATCTAAATTTAACATATAATACACTTATTTACCATCGCAAAATTGATAGAATGATTAATTTTATATTTTTAAAACTTAAGATTAATTAATCAGTTTTTTTTAAATAAAGTGACTAAAATCAAGTTCTGTGGAAAGTATAAAGAATTAAAACCATATCCATTACATGTTTACACCCCACCCAACTTTGCTTATTATTATTATTATTATTATCTTTTTTACTTTTGGCCTCTATGTGCATTTTGAAAACCAACTGAGAAATTTTAAAATTAATCTAAATTATCAATTTAACAGTTTACTGGTTATTGATTTGCTCTATGTCCACTGAATCAAGAAATCATAATCAAATTTATTCAAGATTTATGCGGACCAATATTTTCACCAGTTAGGCCTATAGTTTTATCAATTTTTTAATTTAGACCTTATAGTTTTGAAAGTTTTGAGAAAGTCCGAATAATTCAGCTTTATTAATGCTTTTTATCAAATTTCTTTTTTAATTTTACCTGTTTATTCAAATTTAAACGTACTTACCAGTTGTATTATATGGATGATAAATTAAAGTTTGCTTCTTCTTATTTTTTTCCCTACATTCAATCAATAATCTATTGAACAAATATATTTCGTAAAATTATATTTTAACTTTAGAGTGGATTATATATATACTAAATTAAATCAAACGGTTCAATCTCTAATTTAGTGATAGACTATATTAAGTATTTGTAATGTGTTAAGGAAAAACATTAATAATTAATTTGTAATATTGTACTACAGAGTCAAATTTTAATGTAACAGATAACTTTCCTATTATATTTTATATTATTTTATTTTTATTTTCATATGGTAAAATGATTGAATATTAATTAAATTTATGTGAATATTATTATGTTAGGTTCGTTTATGTTCCAGACTTCTCACACAAGTCATAGACTTTGTAATGTATTATAAATCATTACGTAGTTTTCTTATGTTCTTTGTTCATTCTAACAAATTATTGTACATGATCTTTACATTCATGATTCTTACATAATAATATAAATCATAATAAGTAGACTAACCTTGATTTATGAGAGATATCCAATGAGAATGTTTTAATCAATGTCTTTGTTCTCCAACCTCTTTTTTTCAATCTATCTCTTTACCTTTCTTTCTCCTGTCACACTTTTTCTGATGGTTTATTGTGAAAAGAACCTTATGACCAAAGACATAACCTTAATCCCCTTTTATTAATCAACGTTCATCAAGTTGATTACCGTAAGTTTTTATTTTATTTTATCTTTATTTTATTCTGATTTTTCATAATAACTAATAGGTTCTTATATTTTATTAAATCACATTTGAGCCCATCATTATATTTCACATAAGTCACATAATAGAATAAATTAATTAAATTAATTCTAACATTCTCCTACTTGACTCATGTAATGTCATACCATTCCATGATTTAATACTTAAGTCATAATGCGCATTAAAGGACCTTAAGTAAATTGGTTCTATCATTATTCATAATTAAAGATACTATTACAACAAGAGTAATGCTAGTTACATGTCATTCAATCAACATGCTCCCTTCCATGTACTACTATATTATCTTTTTCTCCTTAATATGACTTTATAATGAAAAGTCGATAATGAGTTCAAACATAATATCATTTTCAATAATAATAATAATAACATAATTTGTTTTCTTCATCAAAATTTGCATGCATATAAATAAAGAAGAAAACACAAATTTTAGAAACTTATACATTAAAGATCTCAGAGTATCACATAAGCATTAATAATAACATTAACATTCAATAGCAAATATAATGCTCATATTCACTATACAACCAACAAACAACTTGGACATCAATCCTTTTGTTAAAGGATTAGCAATCATTACGATTAATGTTAATATATTTTATTGACACTCTTTGTTTTTGAACTTCTTCTTTAACGACAAAGTATTTCAGTTCCATATGCTTATCTTACCTTTGGAATACTTGTCGTTCTTAGAAAAGGAGACTGCTGCATAATTATCACAATAAATTTTCAGCAGCTTGACAATGTTGTCGACTATTCCAAGTTTTAAAATTAAATTCCGTAACTAATTACCTTGAACTGTGGCCTCAAAGCATGCCACAAATTCAGTTTCCATGGTGGATGCAATAATGACGGACTGCTTCACACTTTTCCGTGAAATCGCTCCCCGACTAAAAGATACACATAATCAAATGTAGACTTTCGTGTATCTATGCAACCAGCAAAATTTGAATCTGTATATCCAATCACCTCAAGGAAAGTAAGCATGTGATTCTTTGTTCCTTGTAAGTATCTTAAGACTTTCTTTACAGGTTTCTAATGATCCAGTCTAGGATTACTCTAGTATCTATCCAACATACCAACTGCAAAACTAATATCTGACCTCGTACATGTTTGAGCATACATCAAACTCCCAACAATAAATTCATATGGGATATTTTCCATCTGTTTCCATTCCAAGTTATTATTTGGACATTGCATGAGACTAAATTTGTCTCCTTTCCCTATTGAAATGGGAGATGTTGAACATTTATCCATTCTGAATCTCTTTGAAACTTTATTAATATATGCTTTCTAAGACAAACCTAACAGTCTTTATGATCTATCACATAATATTTCTATTCCTATCACATACTATGTCTCACACATATCTTTCATTTTAAAGTTGTTAGAGATAAACTTCTTAGTCTCACTTAGTAGACCAAGATCATTAGTTGCAAGCAAGATATCATCAACATATAGAATCAGAAATATAAACTTGCTCCCACTGACCTTCAGATATATACATTGATCAACAATATTTTTCTTAAATCCAAAGGACCAAATAGTATCATTGAACTTAATATACCATTGTCGAGAAGCTTGTTTAAGTACATATATTGATTTCTTAAGTTTACACACCATGTGTTCCCTTCCTTCTTCAATGAACCCCATCGGTTGGTCCATATAATCAACTCCCCCTCAATATATGCAAAGATAGATATTTATTTATGTTTAGCAAAATCAATATGCAAAAGAGAAAAGAAAAATTGCTGAGCCTATGACAACAAAAAATTCTAAAATTCTTCGCTTTCAAAATCAATGTTAAATTTCATGTCAAATCTGTCTTCTAGATTTGACACACATTCATCTACATCCGAAATGCGATTGATAATTTCCTGATGCTGATCTGCAGAGATGGAAAAGAAGTCTTGCATTCTTTGGTTCATGCTGAAAATCATATCTTCAATGGAGGAGCGGGGTTCAGTATGGGTGCCAGATGAAGTTCCTTCGACATGAGTATCAGCAGCAACCATTTCTTCATCTTCAAAATTTTCAACAATCTCAGCAACATGGGGCGCATCATCCTTATGGAAGTAGGTTCCATTAACATTGACCATTTGAAGCTGAGATAATGTTCCATCAAGCATCCGATTGATATTCAATGTCCGGGACTTTTGTTCTCCTTCAAGATTAATGCCCTTGTATTCCAGAATTTGAGAGATGAGAAGAGCATAAGGAATCTTAAAGGTAAGATGTCGCTTGGATTTGAGCATCGTTGAAGTAACAAGGCTAGGCGAATCAATTGACTCATTGTTCATAATCACATGGATTATACGAAAATCAACAGTAAAACACTGAGCATGATTAGTGGCCCGGGGATAGAGGATCCATACTATAAGATGAAGGAGCATTCGTTCTTCTTTCTTTAGTGTTTCGGCAAGAAGCTTTCTGCCAATCTCCATGGTAGGATTGTGGAGGAAGGAGCGGTATGCCAGAATTCTGTTAAAGTCATCTAGATCCATCAGGACGTTGACAACATCATCTCGAATGAGAAATTTAGGTACATTTTCCCATATATCATCATCAAGGATGATGGTGACGCCTTTTACTCGAGAGGTAGCAACATGATCTCTATATTTAAAACAAGAATAAAATACATGTATCAAGTCAGGGTAGTACGTCCCTTCCATTTCAATGAAGGGTAAAACACCTTGGTTTTCAAGTAAATTTGAGAAATTGAATTTTTGATTGATGAATTGGTCCCCTTTCAAGAATTTTGGAGAGATGATATTCCTATCCTTCCAAAAAGTAAGAAACTCTTGTCTTTGCTCCTCATCAAATATCCATCCTTCAACAGAATTTGGGCGAGGTTAAGAGGCAGAAGCAGATCTTCTCCTGGTGGGGATCTTTCTTCTGGATGAGGAAGCCATTTTTCAGAGAGGATGGAGAT